TTTCGCTCTCGCTCTCTCGCTCTCGCTCTCACGGTTCAGACGAATCGGAGGACGACCAATCAGAGATGCAGTTCAACCCGATCGATGGTTGTGCTTGTGTCCGTTTTAATTGAAACGAAAAAAAGGTCTACGTAGATATACGAAATCTCCCGCAGGTGATATAATTTTTGGTATAATTTTTAGACGGCTAAACGTAAATACACCGGACACAAAACACAAGTGGAATTGTCATTTCATTATATTCTGTTTTGCATGTTTAATTAGAAGCTTGTAGTTATCGGAATTAATTAAAAAATTGTAATAAGCATATAAATCTCTAAGTAACAAAATAAAGAAAATCTATCTGATAAATCACATTACATAAAAAACAAATAAGTGTCTTCGTCATTAGTATTTTACTACAAAACAATTATGTATAAAATCTGTTACATAGCTAATCTTGTTTCTCATTTAAAAAATAAACTATTTAGTTTAACAGAAGAAATAAAATTACAAAATTCTTTACATTACCTGCATCATCAGTTTGATCCATTGCATCGTCATCTTTGTTTTCGTAAGGCATTGTTCTGTTGTTGTCGTCCAAAGGCCTGCTTTCTCTATCAGCAGTATTTCTAGTACATTGCCACTTTCCAGAGGATGACGATGACTTCCTCCTCTTTTTTCTTCGTTTCAATGGATGCGAGTTGACTGTTGTCCTCGACACTCCATCGTTCGTCACTGTTGGTATCGCAGACTCAGGAACTTTTTCTCCACTCTAAATGTAATATCACGTACACACGTATTGTATTTAAATTAATCACTCTATTTTAATCATTTAAGTATAATTAAAACGAGATGCATCAGAAATATACCTCCGTTAATATATTAGTTGACGACGTTAATCCGTGAATGCTCAGACAATGGGCAGCCTGAAGCAAGGAAGGCAATTGTGCCGGTTCGACACTCACTTCTCCTCGATATACGAATTCCAGCAAAGACTCCAAGTCATCTGCTCCGATTCCTGCTAGCATAACCACTGGATGCTGACATGGCGTGCTCTGTAAACAATACACTTTGTTGTAAGTTTCTACAAGTTTTTATGTTATACGCTACAGTAAATACTAATAATAAATTCAATCGCTCACACTACACTGAATAAATACATGTTAAAAGCTGTTGTATATAAAATAAATGCATAATATAATCAACAATAAAATAATACATACATATTCTGTTAAATAATGTGACAATATTATTATTAAATAGTTAATCGTTTAAAATATTTATATTGTTTTACGTTTAACTTTGCTAATTTCAACTTTTAGTATGCACTTAAAGATAAAAAATTGAGCCACTTTTTCAAGATTGACTCAATTTTCACTACAGAGTGAGATTCCACTCCAAAGAATTGAGAGAGTATGCTTAAGACAATCTAAAATGTAATAATTTTATCTTGTAATTAAAAAAGCCTTAAATAAGAATTGACTATGAATACCAGTCTTAAAGTCTTATCGAAACACAACCTTTAACAAATCCAATAGGAATGGACTGGCTGCACAGAGAACAATTTTATGTGCAGGAAAGCTGCGTCCACCGGCAGCTAAAGTAACATCCACCAAATCGCCATCTCCCCTCAATAGCTGCACTGCAGAGGCCAGAGAAGAACTAAATTCTCCCCAGGATAGACTGTAGAGTTGGCCACTGCTACCCATTTCGTCTCTAAGAGCTTAACTGCAAGATAATAAGACGCATAAATCCAACTCTATTTCTCATCAAGCAAATCTACAAAACCAGATTCTCATAAAAGTAAATTAATTCAACAGCTGTAAATTAATTCAACAAAAAAACATGCAGAACCATTTTGAATAGAAAAAACGTATGTTTATTGATGCTTTCTAGCAAGAGACACATTTTTGCTGACTGCAGTAGATTTGAACTAACCTGAATTGGATTAATAATGTTACATGCTTTACATATCATATAACATTATTAATTCAACTCAGATCAATTCAAACCCTGCAGTTGAAAATAGTAACAGATTACACAGTAGGTCTGTTTTCTTATAATTATACTAGATTTTTTGTTGCTCTGTCAAGACTGCGATTTGAATGCAAGTGCTGTAAGTTTCATTTTGTCGCCTTATCGCTTATTACATGTGGAAAAAAAATAAAATGAAGCTTACAGCGTATGAACATTCAACCAAACACAGCTCAAAATTCAAATATCAAATATATACCTAATTTACTCAAAATTCCAAAAGTATATATATATCAGTTCAGAAAACAGACCTGTGTAATACTTCGAATCATAACGACTGCTCTCCTTTTAAGAGACAATCGACACAAATGTTGTTTTATTTTTCTTATTTATTTAATGTCAAAGATTAAAACGACATTTGTTTGTATCAAATCATGCTCTGGATACGGAATATCAGGTCGTTACAAAATAGAAGTAAATCATTACGTCGTTGTTATTTACATCACGCCAATGTTAAGATGAAATGATTCATAGTATTGTACTAGGTTTGTTTTCTGTAGTTGAACTGTAATTTTGGAACTTGTGAAATAGGGAAAAGTCTGATATGTAGAGAAAGCAAGAAAGAAAATTCTAGTACAGAAAAAAAAACAGACCTACAGCGTCAGCTGTGTTTCTTACTGAAAAGCACCTTGGATTGTTTAGGATTATTCTACGGACTATTTTATAACAAAGTTAAGGTAGTTTGACGACAGGTACATAGTAGACGAAAAAACCGTGGATGGCAAAATCCTACCATGAAAAAACAATCCAGGAAACCGGCTTTAGGTATCACTTCCGATATCTCGGAGATCAGACGTAAGGAACGCGTGCAGCCAACAATTCTGACGCTGACTAACGGTAACGACGCGCACGATCTTTCTCTTTTACTCTCTCTCTCTCTCTCTCTCTCTCTCTCTCTCTTTTCTCTCTCTCTCTCTCTCTCCTTTCTTTCTCTTTCTCCATTCCCGTTTCCTAATTAGTGCCCCCACCCGATTAAGCGTCGCGGCGTCGTGCCGTAAGTTAACCTAACAAAAATGGAACTTCACTACCTGCGTGACGACGGAGACCTCCTCTCACGACGTCGTCGGCGACGAGAATGGGGGGTCGACGTGGCGAGTCGCGCCTGTTTGTTTCCCGGAGCCGAGTGATCGCGCGCCACCGCAACCAGGTCTGGAGAAAGTCGTGTCCGCGCGGTGGTCACCTAGGCATGAAGTCACGACACGAGCTCTCGCGCGTTGTCAAACGACGCGGACGTCCTCAGAACACGCGTGTCGCACGCATTGGAAACTGCGTGATACACGGCACACCTCTGATGATGATCGGTCGTCGACGCCGTTGGCGAGTTTCAGCGCGGCACGCGGCACTCTCTCGCAGGCGAAATTCAAACCCTATCGTAGGGACGATCGCATACGCGACATGCGTGTGTGCATTTATGTGGTGCACAGTGCATAATACGATACGTCACGCGTCACGACGCGTTGCGCGAGCAGCTCATGCAGCGTCGCAGTGCCGCCGTCATGCGGCCAACGAGCGAAGTGTAAGTGCGAACCGGAAGTCTGCAAAAGAGCGCGAATCAGAATTCAAATTGAATTCAAAGTTTAAATAAATAATTAATTTAATAGTAAATAGGCTCATGTGATATAATAATCATAAGTACAAAAATAATAGCCTTTTGGAGTCAATTCGATGTTAATATGGTGTTTTAATAAATTATATTAAGACGAATTATATATGTGATATGTATTAACATTGTTCAATTAGATCTCGAGTTGGTTGCAAAAGTTAAGCTTATGTTATTTTTTTATTTTTAATTCAAAATCACCGAGACGATTTCGAATTTAACTTATCAAATAATATTTCAAGCTGTATCTACAATTGGAGCTTTTTATTTGGTAACGCGAGAGTTTCTTTATCTTTAGAGTTTCTTATTCTATCTTTGTTACTTTCTGAATGAAGAAAAATAGAATGATATTTGTATCGATTTGCGTTTAGCTGACGATTCATTAAATGGAAAGTATCCAACAAGATTTTAAAGCACAAAAAATTAACCAAGTGAATTAGTTACCCAGCAAACGAAAATGGATTGAAATAGATTGGAAATTTTCAATCCATCCGAATCCATATTTTGAATCCATAAAAATTGGATTCCACATAAAAAATGTTTATAAAAATGTTTATGTTTACGTATAAAAGTTTAAATTAAAGTGGTAATTACTTGACATGAACTTCAATAGTTATTATTTTAAAATTTTTATACAAAAAATACACGCCAATATAATATAATAAAGTATAATAAAAGAAACATACTAATATGAAATATACATAAAATCGATTAATTTATTAATTAAAAATAAGTCATTTATATATGTAACATTTATTGTACATATTTATATAGTTCTTTTTATATTTCTTTTAATTATTAAATGAAGTAGAATTTATATTTTTATGGCACAACTTTTTTTTTAACTCAGTTGAATTAAAATGAAAAATTTCTTACTCATAATTCTGAATAAAATAGCTTTCATGATGCATTTTTAAATGAAACGATGGATTTTTCATAATTTTGAATTGTATAACATTCATGGTCTATTTTAAAAGAAAAAGTTTTTTTATTCAATTGGAAAATTTCAATTAAAAAAAAACTGCATTTCTTATTCAGAATTTTGAATTGAACAATATTCACATTATTATTTTTAAATTGAAAAGCATAGAAATATAATACCATTCCTATAAATATAATACCATTCCTATAAATGAATAAAAATGCATTGAAGAAAAGGAATAGACATTTGTTTCATATAATTCTTATAAATGAATAAAAATGTATTCTGGATTGGAAAAAATTCATTTTAACATTCATGAATCCATATTTCTGAAAATCTGAATACATTTTAATCCATTCGATCCATTCTCATTTGCTGTATACACAACACTGAATTAATATTATAAAAAAGGCTTTATATATTCTCAATTTTTTGGAGTGGAATCTCACTCTAAAGAATGAAAATTAAGCCAATCTTGAAAAATAGACTCAATTTTTTATCTTTAAGAATAATACATTTCAGAATGACAATCTAAAAGTTTAGAGAATAAAGTATCTAAATGCAGTGGAATAACATAATCAACTTTGCCAATGAAATAATTTAAATAATAAATATATTATTCTATTCTATTAAATAATGTGACAATATCATTATTAAGAGTATTTAATCGATTAAAACATTTATATATTTATATATCTATTTTGCTTCTGCTTGCACATATAACAACTTTTGGATTAATCTAATATAGTACATTAAGTGTCTGAATTCACTATCAGTTACAGTCTTTATCATTTTTAAAGAGTCATCTCACACGATACTATAGGCGAACAGAGCAAGCTCAATTACAAATCTATTTAATCTTCAAAATAAAGCTCTTCCTTACGACGCCCTTATTTTTTGCTCCTGAAACATGGACATGTTCCGTTCACATCCATTCTCAGACTCTTTCCTGGTCACACTCTCTCGTGTTCTGTTCCTCGAATCCTCGGAGGGAGAGGGCGAGAAAAACATAAATACGTAAAATATATGGCGCGTGAAAGCGATCGCTAACAGCTGAGACTGAAACAACGTAATCGCGCCATCGCGCTGTTTGTTCGCTGTTGGCTCAGGTGACTGGTGCGCGTGGCAGTTGCGCGAATGCGCATGCGCTACCACGTACCACCGTTGTGACTCGCTCGCGACAACACTTCGCCAACGGGACTGACCGACGCTCATTATTGTACCTTGGCCCCCAATTTCCTCCAGCCAACTTCAGTGCCTTCCGAAGTACAGCGTATCGTCTCTCTCACTCTTCCATTCTCTCACTCTCTTTTTTTTTCTCTTTCGTTCGGTGCGTACGTACACGTTGCGTCTGAGCGTATGTGTGTGTTTTGTCATTGATCGCGTTTACGTTTTCACCGCGATGTCGTCCGGTAGCTGGGAACTGGTCAGCAGGAAGAAGGACAGGAGCAACGACAAATCGAACAAACTAACGAAGGCTGAGAAGAAGAAATTTATTGAGAACGCGCCGAAAGTCGAAGATTTCTGTGAGTCGTTTCTGTTATAATCTACTCATCTTCCACTTCAGAAGCCTTGTAGCTTCTGCTCCAATTCTTCATGACTTTGACAATTTGCTGTCGACGAGCAATCGACTATCAGCTGAGAGAACGATGCGAGCCGGGCATCTGATTTGCTTCAATCGCGCGTGAAATGTATAAAGAGAGGGTCACAATATGGTACTATCGCATACTTTCTGCGACATTCATTCTGCGATTACTCCTTTTTGTAGAATAGAATTTTTGATACAGAAATACATTGATACACAAATTGATACGTCATGGTTAATCCTTTTGGATTTGTTTTGCATGATAACAAAAGATAATTCATCTGAAACTTAACTTAGAACTTGTACTTTAAGATTTTGCAATTATTCCTTTTTGCCATAGAAATATTTGACTTGCTGTGATAAATCATTCTTTTGGAGTTGTCTTGCTAGATAATTCTATAATTTATCTCAGATTTGGAACCTTGTACTTTGCTATACTTATTCTGCAATTTCTTCTTTTTACCATAGTGATACAGAAAATATTTGTCATAATATGATAAATTATTGTTTGAGTTATTGTACTAAATAGCTCTAAAGGATAATTTATCTCAAATTTAATTTGGAGTTTTGTACTTTGCAATACTTATTCTGTAGTTGCTCCTTTTTACTATAAAATTATATAAAATTATATATAGAAGTATTTGTCATGATATGATAAATAACCATTTTGTTTTTATAGAGTTGTTTTATAAAATACTTCAAAGGATAATATTTACTTCAAACTTAGAAGCTATTTTGCAAACAAGCATCTTAGTCTTTTTACTCTTATCAAGGAAATTATATATCTAACTTAGTATAAATATAATTTTAGTGCCTTTGAGTCAAGTGAAGACACTGTACGATAACCTAGATGGAAACAAAGAGAATAAGAAGCCTGCCAAAGTGCAAGGGAAAGAACACAAGACAAAGGAGAATGAGGAGAAGAAGAAGCAACATCAAAAACAGCAACAGCATGTTGAAAAGAAGAAATCTGAGCCAAAGGAGAAACCTCCAAAAACTGTTAAGGATGCATTGAATGCAGTAAGACTTTTAACTTAGAATAAAATTTGGAATCATATTTGCTATTAATTTTTTTATAGTATATATTGGATTGGCAAGGAAATAATTGCGTTTTTTTAGCTCAAAGTTGTATACAATATCTTCATCAATAATGAATGAAATTTAAATTTAAAAAAAACTTGAGTTGAGTTTTAAAACTTGAAATCTCTATTTTTAAAAGCTTACCATATTTTTTAAGTTTATATGACTTCGATAATTTTTACATACTAAAAATGATCTGAAAAAGATGGAAAATTTTCGACTATCCATCGTGAAAGTTTGATATTTTTCCTACAAAATCATTTTTTTTAATATTCCTACGATTTTTGGTTACCTAAGTTATCACGGATTAAATAAAAGGATCATTTTAATTGCTCATAACTCTGTTAAAAATTGTTGTATGGCAATTTAAAAAAGTGATTCTTAAAGCTGAAACTTTATCAAGATATTGGTTGATAAGAAAGTAATTGCGGTTTTTACTGATACCTTTAAAAAAAACGTAATTACTTTCTTACCAACCCAATATTTTTATCACACATTATTCATTTAGAAAAAATATAAACTAATTTTATTCTATTTTAAATTGCTTGAATTATATGCTAGTAATTAATTCCTTATAATGCACATTATAATGCACAGATTGATCCACAAGAACTCGATGAACTTCTGGCCACTGCACAAGTCAGATTTCCCGAGGCTCCCCTGCTCTGGTTGAAGGAACTCAATGCCTTCCTCAACATTAAGATACCTATCAACAAGGAAGATGTGATTTTCTCAGGAAAACCCAAGGATTATCCATTAAGTTTAGTACCTAAAGCAATCTCTTCCATACTAGAACGAGCAGTGGAGATGACGGGCCAGCAAACCATACAAATTTTTTATGAGAACACTCTTACGGCAATGGCCACTGACATGGTCAAGGGAATTCCCGTTATCGGAC